GTCTTGCCCTCTTGTTAGCAGTCTTTGTTTCCCTCTTCTGCGGAGATGGCCTGTGACAGGGTGTGGGTTTGGCTTTTGTTTACACCAGATGTGGCTGGACAGCAAGAGGAAGTCCTGCCTGGGAAGCAAGGGCCACGCCAGAGAGCTGAACCATGTGGTGGGGAGGCAGATGCTCCTCTCCCTCAGTGCTGGACGCAGCCTGGCAGGGCGGATGGGTTGCTGGGTGGGCGAGCGGAGCCCTGTGGCAAGCAGATTTGCCACCACAGCTGGCTGGCAGGAGGTGGGCAGCCTTGGCCTTTAGTTGTGCACAGAGGGAGGAAAGGAGAAGAGGAGGAAGGCTGGGCTGCTGCTTCCCCGGGGGTCTCCTGTCGCCTCCTGTGTGCTGGGACAGAAGCTGTAGAGGTGGCCAGCCTGGGACATGAGCAGGGCTCTTGAGTAGTGCTGGGTGGCGTTCAGCATTGGGTCAGCCAGGCCTGGCTGCACGCGTGGGGATGTGCCGGCATCTGCCCATGCCTCTGGGGACACGGAGAATAAATGAAATGCAAACTCCAGGCGGTTTAGTAACGAAACTACCTGGGCACTGTCCGGGAGGACTGCGAGGGCTCGGAGAGCTGCCAGTGCGAGGCGGCCACGGGGCAGTGCCGGTGCCTCCCCAACGTGGTGGGGCAGACCTGTGACCGCTGTGCCCCCCACACGTGGAGGCTCGCCAGCGGCGCCGGCTGCGAGCAGTGTGGCTGTGACCCCACACGCTCCCTCGGGCCTGCCTGCAACGAGGTGAGGGGAGCGTGGGGCATGCTCCGACAGCTTGGCCTTTGCTCCGGCGTGGGGCCGAGCTGCTGAGGTTGTCACATACCCTGTTGGGGTTTTTTTGGCAGTTCACGGGGCAGTGCCAGTGCATGCCGGGCTTCGGAGGCCGGACCTGCCAGGAGTGCCAGGAGCTCTTCTGGGGTGACCCAGGCGTGGAGTGCCGAGGTGAGTCCAACCCCAGCGCCTGCTCCACCTGCTCCTTTTGGAAGTGACCCAGTGGCCGGGCATGCCGTCACACCCCGGTGCACTGGGACACCCCTGCCGGGAGCAGCCCCTCCGGTGACCCCACCAGTGCCCACACGAGCCTTGGAAATGAGGGAGGAAGGCATGGTGGGGTCTGTCCCCGGGGTTTTGGTGCCTCCAGGGACAGGAGGTGCGGCAAGAGCCCAGCCTGGCGCTTGCCTGGTTTATTTTATTTCTTGTTGGACCCTTATTTAGAAACAAACCTCTCTGTTTAGAAACTAACTCTTCTTTAACCGTTACATTGCAATGCTGTCAGGTAAGCTGGTTGTGGTAAGAAAACGTATTGCAAATGTTTGGGTTTGAGAATTGGTCTGGAAACCAGCTTCCTTTGCCTTTCGATTGTACCTAGTGGAAGACCACTGTCTCCTCTTGTGTCTTGTTAGGGAGCTGGGCCTGAAGAAATAAGTTTTTTTTTATTTAGGAGGAAACTTTCCTTATATTTCAGATGAAAATAAAGGAGTGAGCAGAGACCATGCAGCAGGTTAGCTGTAGCTACATGCCACAAAACAGCGCCATGAAGTCGCTTGTTTAGAGAACTGGATGCTCTCTGTCCTTTCATTATAAACAAGTCTGTTCATTGGCTGGAAAAGAAACTTCAAACACTGTCCAGACCAGAACAAACTAGTATCTCTGATCTGTTCAAATAGGAGCCTCTGCCAGGAGGGTTTGCAGTAGATTAAGGTATTTTTTCCTGCAGGGAGGAATGTGCTTGCTGTGGTCTTTTTAATAAATCCCTTACAATAGAGATACCTTAGAGGCCATTATCTAACCAGATAGGCAGGTCACAGCTACTTGGTTAATGCAGCAAATGAAAGGACTGGGGAATTGTCCCAGTTCCTGAGTACATATTAGGTTTCTCAGGGGCGAGGCAGCCTTTTGGGGAGGCTGTGTGTGTTCTGGCGTGGTGAGGGGCGCTGACCCTGCCGGCTCCGGGGCAGGGATTGTCTCTTGGTATCAGCTGTCTCCATCAGGGTTTATTGATGGACTCCATCCGCATACCTTATCAGCAGGATTTTGCAGCGTAGCAGCATTTCTGGTCTCTCATGGAGTTTCTGCTGCCTTTTGAGCATGTGAAAACCTGCTTTTTAACGTTTCTGAAGTAAAGAGAGGATATATTCTTCAGAGCCTGTTTTTACCACGCAAGCTCCATGCTCTCCTTCCAACCTGCCCCCCCTTCTGCCCCCAAGTGACGTGGGAGACTCGCTCAGGTGGAAATGCAGATTTTCCTTCAGGATTGCATCCAACAGGAGGTCTCTGTGGCAGGTGGGGAGAGCCGGTGCACAGGGCTGAGCTGCAGCAGCCTGCGGTGCGATGCCCCGGATGGGCTCCAAGCGTGCGCTCGCTCGGGGAGCATATCCAGCCCCGCGGCATTGCCGCATCTCCCCAGCATGGTGGGGTCAGTGCCTCCTGCCCTGTCTCCCATCCTTCCTCGGCAGGGAGAGAAGTGACTTCTCAGCCCTCATTTAGTCCTGGTGAGCAGAGGGGTGATGCTCAGGCTGGCAGATGTGCAGCCTGCCACGTGGGCAGGTAGCAGCTGTCAGTGGTAAGCGGTTTGCAGGCGAACTGGAAAACTGTGCGGTTTAAGGAGTTGCAGAGCAATGCCACTGGAAAACAGCTTAAATATGGCCTGTGGCCAAGGTGAAGCTGGAATGGAGGCGGGGATTCATCACAAAGATGTCGGCTCCAGCTGCTGGGGGACACATGGACTCCTGGCCACGGTGCTTGCCACCTGCCCTTGGTGGCACGCTCATGCTGGCCCAAGCAGCCAATACGGCCACATTTTGTACTGCGTTCAGGAAGAAAATACAAACTGATCTGGATGGGGAAAGGCGAGAGCTCTGAACCGTGTAAGTATGGATGGACAGTCTTCACTGCAGGCACTGAGCTGATGCGGAAGTGTGGACGTCAGTCCTGACAACTCCAGGGTGGGATTCTCCACTGGCCCGGGCAAGTGGCTTCTGCTCAAGGTTGGAAATCATAAGGTGCATCACTCAAGGGACAGTAACGCGTGACTTCTTCACAAGAGGTCTTCAGGCTGTTGGCATCAAGAGACACGAGCTCCTGCTGAGAAATGGGGACCGTACTGCCCACGTTGTTGTGACACCCTTTAGAATTTTTTAATTACTAAAAAAAAAAGTGAGTTCATGTGAACACAAATGCCTGCAAATAACGTCTGGACACAGCTATGTGAAGATGTACAAAATGGCCCATCTAGGGCAGGCCGGGGGCTGCAGCCCCCCATGGGGTTCCCAGGTGCTCGCAGCAGCACTGAGCTGTGGATGTGGCCCCAGGGTCCCAGCATGCTCCACTGGAAACCAGACTCCAGGTCACGCTTCCCCACCGTCCTCATCGATGGCAGTGACCATTGCCAGCTGCTGCCCGTGACTTGTTTTCTAGAAATCTTGGTAAGATCAGAGATGGCAAAGCAGCAGCTGGGGGAGGCAAGTTTTTGCACCTGGTCTTGGTGCTTTGATTTGCAGTCTGTGCTCCCTGCAGTGGAGAGAAAGCATCATCCGGTATCTCCTCTCTGCATGTCCCCAGTGATCACACTGGGTCCAGACCGCTGGGGCAAGCTAAGGTAGGTGCCTACGTTTGGGCAGCATCTCGACCCCTCAGTACTGGGTACGGTCCCACCGCCCACAGATACCCCTTGGGGATTATGCACTGCAGAGAGTCTGTAGGACTGGGTCTTCTGAGACTGCTTACCCCATGCTTTAAAAAAACACAACAGTTACTCATTTAATTTAACATAATGCCTGAAACAAGCACAGGAGAGGCGTAGAGGATAGGGAAAAGCCCAGCGTGTCTCTCTTGGCCTCGTGCAGTGAGCAGGAGCTGTGCAGTGAGCATCATCTGCTCGGGGGGCAGTGCCAGCCCCTTTACAGGACTCTTCTGGCTGTTGTTTCATCTACGAGCTATATGCAGCTCTACACAAGCCTGCACGTGAATGTGTGCATGTGCATAAAAATCCTTGCTAAGGTAGTAAATAAAAGGATTACAGATTTCATCAAACTTGAGTCTCCTAGGCATTCTGCTGGAGCTTTTCCAAAGCCTGGCAACCCAAATGCAGGACTCAGCATGCTGAGCTCTGCGCTGACTTCAGCCCACAAAGCACATTTCTGGCAGGAAGCTCCAGGCTCCCAGGAAGCCTCTGAGATATGGTGTGGCTGCAGAGACAGCTCGAACAATGCCCTTGCGCGGTAGATATTTAACATTTATGTGTTTTATATATAAAGGAGATGACAGTTTTACTATCATCACTGTTTTAATTGAACAAACAGAACAGAGTGCAGTTAGTAAAAGGCATTGTATGAGATTGAAAGTTAGGTGGTATTGCTATCTCCCCTTTACAAGAAGCATACCTTTGTCAATATTTTTCTGTGTTGGATTTGAGTATCAAGCCCTATTGTAAAAAAACCAGAATTTAATTGAACTAAGAAGAAAAAAAGTCATGTTTTTATCAAATACTCATTGCAGACATTGGCAGAAAGTTGTTTTTCTCAGTTTTTAGTCTTTGTTATGTACCTGGTGCCAAAACATCTGTTCACTGAAAATTACTCCATTGCCATTTAAGAATAGGCTTCGTAATCTTAATTTAACACCTGGGTTTTAAACTAGTCATGTAGGCTGCTTTTATAGGAGGTGTTTATGGTGTGGAGAGAAAGATTAGCAGATGTTTCTTTTCCTTCTGTGATAAGTGTCTAAAGGAAGTCAGACAAATTCTACGCTAAAGGAAATAAATATAATTTTCACTGTGAGTTTCATAATTTCAATTGACCGGTGGTCTTAAAATATTGTAATGTATATTGATTGTTTCCAGAAAATTGCCCTTTTGGCAAGGTCTGCTAGCATGTTAAAATGCAGCACAACTCTAGTAATTCTAGGCTGGGATCTTATCTTAACACTCATACTGAAAATCATAACGTTGAGGAGTTAGCAATATGCTTACAGGTTAATTTGAATCAATAGCTGATTATTCAGAAATTTGCTAGCTCTGCAAAACTTTCAACCTTACAAATTGCTGACTGGTTTTATCATCATAGTGCCTCACTACCACTGGGAAATGATGCCAGGAAATCATGTTTGAACAAACCCTTTGTTTTTTTGCTGTGGAGGAGTTAAACATTTGATGCTCTCCGTCCCCAATCTCAAGCAGTAAAGAAAATACTTCTGCAAAAATTATTTCTGTTCTGTGTAGGATGATGTATGACACTCGCTTGTTCCTAGCATCCTGCAATAAGACATTAAACACTGAGACTGATCTTCATACAGCCCTTTCAGCATCCATTATGTTGTCTCGGCTGTAGTATGAACTGCTCTGACACACCTTAGTTTAAATTAAGTGATATGCAAATATGGCATATATTAAATTACAGTAGCTCAAATGGAAGTGAGTTCTAAATATTTAAAATCAGAGGGAAAGGTAGCAGAGCTGTCAGAGTAAGTGAAAGATAAAGTGGTTCATAGATCCTTATGAGCTTGAAGCAAACCACTTGAGCTAGTCATTTACTTCTTTGGGATTTCTCCCCTTAGGTTTCTACAAGACTACATTCAATAAACATGTATGAGTGTTACTTTTATCTTTAAGATCAGGAAAAAAACATTACTAAAAGAGAAATGCATTGATCATGGTGGTATAAAAATTACTCATGGATATTCTGTGTGCGTGCACATGTATTTGTGAATAGATGCAGCTACAATCTTTTGTAGTCATAAGTTGCTAATCAGCAGGTCCTGACTGAAGAATTTGGCTAGAAAATTTTCCTGTCAAAAATGTGATTTCACTTAAGTCAGAGTATGCCATAGAAGAATGTCTGATTGAGTTAAACACTCAATTAAAGAAAACAATACACCCAGTTCCAAAATGACATTTTGAAACAGAAACCTATTGTTTAACTTAGTAAATGCTCCTTTGAAAACCCTCAGATCTTTGACCAATTATTTAAAAAAACCTTATTTTCCTCTGCTATATTTTCTATGGGAGGTACTGCAGTGTCCTGCTCTGCTTACCCAGGGACAGATTTGATCCCTGTCTAACTGATCTTTGAAGTAAGCAGTCCTGTCTGTGTTAACTTGCAGCCCTTCACCCTGGCCTTTGTCCACTCCTCTGTATGAAGGGAGAGGAAGCAACCATTTGTCTTGAAGGCCATTTCCAACCCAAACTGTTTAAGGCATCTAAATGTCTTGCAGTAAACTCAGCATCTGTGTGGTTTCACAGTGCAAAATGAACCACTTTTCCCAATTTCTAGTCACGTAAGCATAGGTAAGGCATTTAAAAAGAGCTTACAGGACTTCATGTCTTTCCCTTCCTATTCAACAGATACTATGTTAGGTGGAGTATAAAGCCATCGCTAGCTGCTGGATAATATCTGAAACGCTTCTGCATCCCTAGATGTGCCTGCATGTTTCTTGTTGTTCTTGGAGAAAATTGGATTAACCAGCCATATGCTAAAATTAGATGTTATAGCTACTCAAGTGTGCTGGTTAGAGCCGAAATCTCCAGAGCCAAGCTATGCTTTGAAGGTTGTGTTTGCATTAGCCTGTTTGAGTACATCAGAAGCAAAACTGCTCTAACAGCATCATTAGCACGGGACTGCATAGGAGTAGGCTCACATGGTGGCCATAGGAATAGTTGGACATTAATGAAGGAGGTGGTAGAGGAGTGAGAACTCCACTGTGGCTAGATGTGATACTGGGGTACTTTGCACAAAAACGATGCTGGGCATGACATGCTGGATCATTCTGGCAGTGTTCACTCTGTTTCTAGCAGGTGATGGGAATCAAGGCGTCTCCTGTTTTCACATCCCAGTTCATTGGTGGTGGTAATCAAATGTCACATGAATCCTGTTGTGGATGTGCACGCACCATCATGAGATGTGCATGCACTCACCACAGAGACTGAAGCCAGCGAGTGCTTGGTAAGCAGGCGTTGCATGAGGCAAAGAAGTAAAACCTGTGTGCTGATCTATTTGCCTGGTGGCCCACGGTGTTCAAGGTGCTCCTCACTACCTAGAAGGCTTTATATGATCTTGTCCTGGGCTTGCTTACCTCCTCGTGAGAAGTCATCACAGCTGAAGTCATTTGACGGTTTGATCCCAGCCATGCTGTAAAGGGAAGATGCTCTCTGCAAGGGCCTTGGATGTGCTCTGTGCCAGGGTGTGAAATAGCCAGTTGGTGGTGGCCAGGGCACAGGATACAGGACTCCTCCACTAAAGGCACTGGAGATGGTGGAGGTCCTGTTCCACGTGGCCTTGGAGGGCAGAAGAGCAGTTTCTGTGGGTTTCTGGCTGGCCAAATTTAGTTATTAACGTGGTGTCCGGAAATTGGGACCCAGCATCTCATAGCAGCACTCAGAAACTGACTCTAGTGAGGAACAGAGATGATTTCAACTGTGGCTGAAGCGCTTGGCTAAGGTCATCTCGACTCTAAAAGAGAAGGTCGCATGTAGCCAAACACTGGCATGCACGTGTCATTTGTGAGATAAAAGGATTGCTCACAGGATGTGAGCTGTAAGAGGAGCAGTGATGCTTTTCTGAGAATTTAAAAAATGTTTCGGTCAGTGCCACAGTAAGGAGTTGTCCGAGGGCTGTAGCTAGAGAGACCGTACCACCAACATGTAGAAATGCCTCCCAAATTTTCAAAATGGAAAGAAAATAAAATCTACTGGAATCTTCCTATTCCAGTTCTGAGGGAGGCTTTTTCTTGTTTTGCTTTAAACTATGTGATTTTACTTACAAATAGAAATAAAATTATCTTCAGTTTTACCTTTTGGTTTGAAAACTGGTGTGGTCCTGTGCACAGTTAATGACTTTGGAAGATCACAAAGAAAGAGCAAGTGTGAGACAGCCCTTTTGAAAGCCATTTTATATATGTTGGATTCACCGTACTGAAGTAATGCAGAGCCAGCATTGCCTGCTTCTGGGCTTGATAGAGAATCCTAAACTGGATAAATAACCCACAGTAATGTTGTACAATTTTCTCATGGGTCCCACAAAGCTCAGTTTGGAAGTTTTGTAGAATTCTAGAAATATGATGATTCTTCCAACTGTTGTGCTGTATTTAGAATAAATTACTTCTTTGCTCTTTACCATCTCCCAACAGGCAGCCATGGAGTTTGGGTTTTCACTTTGCAAACTAGTTAGTACTTAAATTCTCCTCTCCACTTCTGCAGCATTTTCTGACTCCAGAGATTTTGGAATCCACATTACCATGTAAATGCTACTAAAGCCATGTCATCTGCCTTTCCTGAGCGTGCAAGGTATTCAGGAGTAGAATTACCAACATGGGGTGGTTTTTTTCACTTTAAGCTTTTTAAATCCGCAAGTAAATATAGTGATCTGATTTGCCAGCAGCAAGTATTCATGTAACTTGATCAGATCTCAGGATCTTTCAGAAAAACGACATGCCGTGTAGCCTCTTTCTGTGCAGAGGAATTTGGACAATTCGTCATTATACCGAGGGCCTTATTAGTTGACAGAAGGTGTTAACTGACCTCCTTCAAACAGGAACTCGAAGCTTTGCCTGCAGGGAACATATTCCATGGTGAGTTGACTACTTAAGCGCTTTCGATGTCTCTCTCCGTGTCAGGGTATAATTCAAAGAACAAAGGACCATTTTGCTCAATTGTGCAGGCAGCAGAAGTTATTTTTGTCTCTTGCCTATCATATTCTCATTGTACAAGAAAGGCATTTTGTTGAGGAGCGATTTGTTCTGCTGAGGCTCTTTGTGTAATTTTTGAACTGAAGACCACCACTGTGTTTTGGCATTGAAGCAAACAATGTACAGTCTTGAAAACGGCTTTGTGTTTTGCCCTTTTTTCAAGGGGGCATGTGCTTGGGGTGTGTGAATTGATTTATGGACCTTTTTGAGCCATTAACCTCCTTCAAGGATGCCTGGTAAATGGATGTGTAAGTGAAGGCTTTTATCAGGTATCGCAGTACTTTTCCTGTTTAAGGAATGTGTGCTTGACCTGCTTCGGGTGTACTCTGCCACAAAGTTAGATAGATGACCTGCCTATTTTCAAGGCCTCTCTTTTTGTTCTTTGCTGCTATCCCTTTATTAAAAGCTTTGCAGGTTAGTAATTTCCTCTGCTGCTGCCTGCATAATTAAGGAGGAGGAGAGGTCAAGTGGCAGCCCTGCTGCATGGTAACACTTCTCCTGATAGCGTTATTGTGTACAAAGTGTGTCTGTGCTTTTAGAAATGACCGTGCATCAGTAAGTTAATTGAGCAACTTCTCTTCATGGCAGGTTAGTACGAAAGAAGTGCATCTTTATTCTAAAAGCTTGTTAAAAAAGGGTGTTGCCCAAACCTTATCACTCCAATTTGGCAACCACCTGGAGCCCCTGGGTCTTACCTGACTAGCATATAAAGATAGGTAGGTGTTCACAGTTACCAAAATAAGAATGAAAGTCCATTTCAGGAAGGTGTGAATACTAACTCCTGAGTTGGTGCTCAAAGTGTGAAATAATTAAAAAATAATAATAATTTAAAAAAATCAGTTAATCGGCCTCATTCCCACTTGAGGTTGACAAGCAGTGTGTAGGCTCTTGGTCGTTAGCACCCATATTGTAGAAGACACCTCTGTTCTCCCTTAGACAGGGCTGCCCATGACCACATTCTTCGTTCTATTCTACTTTTCACTGCCTGATTTTTTTTTTTTTCCCATTTTCTGTATACCCAAAACGTCAGCCCAGTGCCAGGCTCCTCAATGCATGTTGTGAATGTTTTCCAACCATCTGTGGCAGGAGCACATCCCGAGCCAGGCCCTGTACCTCTGCATACAAGATCTCTCCAGGGCTGTTACTCCATAAATTTGTCATGTACTTCTTTGAAGCCACCTCAGCTTTTAGCACCCATGGTGTCTTGTGGTAGGGAGCTCTACCACTTAACTAAGCACACTGTAATCAGCTATCTCCTTTTATTGTGCTGTTTGTGGGAGGTGCAGGGGAGGGAGGTTGATTTTTTTGCTCTGCTGGATTCCTCAGTTGACCCCTACTCCTGTGGTGGAGGAGACAGTAAATGGTTGTTCCTTGTTCACTTTTTCTATTTCACTCATGTTTTGCTCTTAAACCCCTCTGCTATGTGCCTGCCTGTTGTTTCTTTTCCCATCTGGAAAGCCTTACTCTACTTACTCTTCATTGTAGGAGTGAAACTGGGATCTTTGTCTTCAATTGCTATCCAACTGACATCCAAACACTGCAAGAAGTGTCCATCCTTGCTCCATTATTGTGCCTGTTTCTGAGATGTGCAGATCCTAGTCTCCCCTAGCGTTATTTCCTTGTCTCTCTCCCCTTCCACACTCAGCCCTGGTTCCCCCATACCCAAGCAGACACATCCATAATTAACTGATTATAAGCCAGACACAGACCACTTCGATACTCATTTCCCTACTTCATTACAACTGGTTGAATGATTTTTTTTTTCTCCCTGCCAATGTCAACATCATTTCCTTCACTGTAGCCTTCACGCATGCCTTTCTCCTTCCAGCTTGTGATTGCAACCCTCATGGCATCCAGACCCCGCAATGCCACCGCGCCACCGGGCAGTGCATCTGCAACGAAGGGGTGGAAGGGCCGCGCTGCGACAAGTGCTCCCGGGGCTACTCGGGCTTCTTCCCCAACTGTGTGCCGTGCCACCAGTGCTTTGCCCTCTGGGACGTGATCATCAGCGAGCTGGCTAATAGGACCCAGCAGTTCCTGAATAGGGCTAATGCCCTCAAAATCACTGGAGTCACTGGCCCATACCAGCAGACACTCAACACCCTGGAGGAGAAGCTCAGTGAAATTAAAACCATCATCACTCAAAATCCAGCTGCTGAGCCCCTGAAGAACATTGGGAATCTCTTCGAGGAAGCAGAGTGAGTACAGTCACAGTTATGTGGGTAAGTCTAGTGTGGGAAGGAGTGGGAGTGCCAGCGAGCTGGGATTTACTTGAGTGACTGATGCCCACACGCTGAGCTGAGGACACCTCAGTTCTGCTCCTCCAGCTGGGCGAGGTACACTGTGGCTCCTAGCGCTGGTGGAGCACCTCACCATGCTCAGTGCTGGCAGTGAGCATCATCCCACGAGTGGAAACCTGGCTGGGGAAGGTAGGAGCAGCATACCTACCATGCTCTGGGCAGGGGTTGTCCTGCTCCCACTGTGCACCAGGCAGCTAATTACTGCGGAGCCACTCACACTTGCCTTGTGCTCCCCCGGGGCAAAGGACAAACACTGCTATTATGTGAGAGAATGAAGAGGGGAGAGATTAAATTCCTGGATTTCAGTGTGTAGCCGATGAGTTGGAAACTTGGGCTCCTTTCTGCACTCTTGAGTGTGTGCGTGGGGAAGCACCAGCTTTATAACAAGGATTGTTTCCATTTTTCTCAGGCAGGGTAGGAGCCTTGTATTTTGTTTTAGGGCTAAGTATACAAAAGATGGTAGTTTGTGCTTTTGGATGTGGGGCAGTTTAACATCAAGTAGGATTACAAATGCTTTCTAGCCCTGTGTGCAACTGCTCGAGCTTGCTTGTGCTTTGTAAAGGGGACTGCACAAAGCCAAGGGGCGAGGATTAAAGCACAAATGTCTCAATTAGGGATACACTTGTGCCCTGCAGCTCCCCCTCTCCAGCTGCAGAGCTGGGGGGTTGCTGCTGCATTTGGCCTCTGTGTGTACTGCGGGAGGTCAGAGCAGCTGAGGAGCTGCTTTTCCCTAGCGCATATATATATATATATATATATATGTATGTATGTATCTGTTCTTGCTCCTCTCTGGCTGCCTGGGCTTTGAAGGACTCCTGGAAAACAGCAGGCTGTTGGGCCATTGAGAGAGCTGTAAATTGATCACGGAGCTTAAATACTGCCTGATTCTTTCAGAATGAGGAAACACTGGGATTGGTGGGATCACCATGGATGGGAATAGCTTCCTTTGCCCACTTCTGTTCCACAGCAGCATTGATGTGTAACATACACTTGCCTTTCCTTTTAGGGTTATCCCACTAGCTAAAGCCTGCTCTGTGGCTTATTGAGGCCATGCTGAATGCTGGGGGCGGGAGGTTTTCCTTCATAGTCCTAGAGAAACGGCTGGTGAGGAGGGATCTTTACAGATGAGTTAAAAGAATCCATTGTGTTAAAACTAAGGCTTCACCCCCCCGCCCCACTTCCTGAAGTTCAAATCTGTCCCATGAGCTCGTAGTAATCAAAACTGCATTTGTAGCTGTGTGGGATGGGAAGCAAATTATGTATGGATCATAGTAGTAAACTCTGACCTATGCAGTTGCCATGATACAAGAGCATTACACCAGTCCTCTGGAATCTGCCTCCAGTTACTCTTACACAAAGCAGCTGTTTTCTGAGCAATTTGGTGCTTTGAGTTTATAAACATGCTGTAGATTAAAAAGTAGTTTTGTATGATAAAGGAAACAAAACAGTATTCTAGGTAGGCATGTTGTTACAAATCACTTAGAGCTCCACTGAGGGAGGACAGGTTCTGCCGTGGGAGAAGCTCAGCATGGCTCTAACACCACTCTTCAGTGAGGTGAAGCACCGAGGCTTACAACCCTTTCTCCTCCCCTGGTTGAGACCTGTGCCTCTGTTTTACAGAAAGCTGACAGCAGATGTTACAGTTAAGATAGCCGACATAGAAGAAAACCTGTCAGCCTTAGCAGTGAAGAGCAATAGCACAGACGCTGACGTGAGTGCGCTGGAGACAGATGCCAAAAGCCTAGACCATGTCGTGAAAGAACTTGCAGAACAGCTAGAGTTCATCAAGATCTCTGATGTTCGGGGTAAGTGTCGCAGGGAGGGGGAGAAAGCAGTGGGGTGGCCAAAGATTTAATTAGTACATGGTTTTAAATACCAGGTTAATCTTCTAACTTGTAATAAAACATAGTTCCTAGGAGGGCAGCTTCTTTCTGTGCATTAGCAGAGTTGCT